ACAAAGCTACTGCAGCAACTGCTGCTATGAGAGAGGGCGAGGAAGTGAGCGAGAGAGAGAGAGATGGATTAAGACAAGAAAAGCAGTGCTGCCCAATCGTGCACATCAAGCAGGCAACACTAAAATGCAGTGTGCAAAAGCTGAGGCTCACCCTTTTATTATGCCTCCAAAACCCACATCCTTCTGTTGTATTTGTGAAGGAATTGTAACAATGCAAACTGCCAGCTGCTGAAAACACAACAGACCTGTTCCAAATCAGCACAGCAGAGCAGTACTAAAAATTTCACTCTCATAAGCGTTCTTCTTCCACACGGTACCCACTGACTTCACTAAACATGTCATTTCCTCCAAACACTGCACTGTCACTGAGTGAACACAAGAAATCTGTGCTTTCCCCATATGTTGAAAAAAGAATCAGCAGTGAAAACTTTGGATATTTTTATGAATGCAGGCAGTCACCGCTGACTATGCAGAGTTTAAGATTTTGAGTGCATCTAATATTTTATCTATGCATGTAGGCTCTCTGGCATTTATCTCATTGCTTTAGCAGACGTTGACTTTACTCCTAAAATACATCACTAGAGGTGTTCACAAAAACTTCCATTTTATATCTGTACTTGAACAGGATGATGAAGAGGGCAGCCCACAGACCACCCCCTTTCCTGCTTGTGTAGCTGAATAAACAGATACCAGCCTGTGCCTGTAAGGTGCCTGCACTTTTGATCTCACAGCACCTGGGATGTGCATCATTTCTCCTCCCAGCTTTGAAAGCAGTGAAGAGTTTGTGTTAATAAACCTATAATGAACTCTACTGCGCTCAGACCCTGGAAAGCTTAGAGCTGCAAATCTCAAACAAGAAATCTATTTCCATTTGTTCATGCCCTTCATGCTGCCGCATTCCCATTCCCTTTAAGATGTCACAGTTGCCCTACAGCTTTTTATTTGCCCTATTTATCCCAGCTCTCATCCCTGATAATCAAGAGGAGGAATACAGAAAAGACACCCTTCTCTTTCTTTTTTAGCCCCTGCTTATACTGAGCCCTGTACTCTCCAATTCCCTCCCATGGCCTGATTTTTCATTTGCTTCATATCATGGTCAGTCTTACAGCTTCTTTTTATCCAGAAATCATCCCTCAGTTCACTTCAAATCAGATTTCAAGTAGTCCTAGTGTTTCACTGTAAAAACCCTCATTCCAAGTCACCACAAAGAGCAATTCATTTTGGTTCCTCTGCAGGCCTTGCTAAGGCTCCAGAAGCCATCTCTTGGGGCCATACATCCTCCTATCCATAACCATCAGAACTATTTAAGACTGCAAGAACATGCCAGTGTATTAACAAGACAAAGAACTCTGAATTATATTCACTTCCAAGAAAAAATATTGGTCATTGTATCTAATGCCTGCTGGCCCCGCATATTCAGTAAGAGCTGTTTTTCTCATGGTGCTGGCAATGGCTGATGAGTAACTTACAATCACCTTTTCTGAGGTACTTTTTCTTCTACTCCAGAACTACAGTTCCTTTTGGGTGCTGAATACAACACACTAAATATAAAATCATTTTTGTCAATAACACCATCAAGTTCATCACCATTTCAAGTGCAGAGTTTTCTCCCCCTTGTGACAGATATGCTTGACTCCTGCACTTGACATATGCCTTGCTCAGTCTTATGAGCCACAGTAGGCCTTGATGTGACTGTTCCTTGAAATACACAGTGCTGAATAGTAGAATGCCTGGTGGATGCTCATGACTATGACCATAATCAAAGAGGATCAAGCACTAACGCAGATGACCCACTGAAATCTCCCATGAAAACATAAAGAATAATTGAGGAGTCAAAACCAACATGATAAGATTTTAAGTTTGACTATGAGACACTTTTTGCTATAAAGACATCAGTTGGAGAAAGCCCAATTTGAGCTATCTGTGCTGAAGCAGCAGGCTGTGCAGCAGTGATTTCCTTCTGAACTGGGATGCCTCTCAAGATTCCCCCATTGAGGTTGAGAGATCCTTACTAACTATGCTTGTTGATGAGTGAAACTTTAACCTTTAATGTATTTGATTTCTGTTAAGATTTAGCAACTTAAATATGCAGTAGCCTTACAACTGTGATTCTTGTCACCATAACAGATTAGTGATATTAGTCCACTTACTGTAATAAACCAAACGGCTGCTGTATGACTAGAACTGTGTGTTCACTATCTCCTGCAACACCCCATTGCCTTTGCATTTGTTAATGCTTTCAGTCATCTCTATCATACCAGTTCAGCTCTAAAAAATATTAACATACACGTACTTGCATACGTCAGAAACCCATGACAAGCTAAAGAAAATGGTCTGATCAACAGCCCCCAGAGCATTGGCAGATACTGTTCTGCTTCCTCAGCAGTATCTCATTCACGTGGGAGTTAAAAATCTGTCAGTTACTCATAGATCTCAATTTCCATCTTGTCGAGAAAACTGCCATTTTCAAATCTAACCTCCCCATTGATGCCCACAGAAAGTCACAGATTTTTTTAACTCCAGAGATTATAGCAAATCTAGGCCCACAAATCTAAATTGTAACCTTCTGCCAGATTCAGCACAAACAAACACAGTACACAATAACTTAAAAACACACAGCCACTATTGATAAAGAAAGCAGAATTAACAAAATACAGACGAGCACTTCTGGGCACGAGGCTAGAGCTAATTCTTCTCATTAATAGATTTCAGTGTTGAACACAAACCAATATTCATCGGTCACCTACATATAACTATTTTGAAATCTTAAACATAAGCCCTTATTCCCCCCACCTTGCTTCTGGCTAGAACCTCACATGACACAAGTACAGATGCACTTTTTTGCCAAAAGAAAGGAATTCTCTGATGAGCTCCTCTCAGAACAGAGCTGAGAGCTCTGTTGTTGGGACCCAGAAGAGACCTGGGTTCAATAAAGTACTGCCCCCCCCCCCCCCCCCCCCCCCCCCCCCCCCTCCCACACACACACACACACACACACACACACAAAGCTTGAATAAACTCCTGCTAAAGCAGGAGAAATCGTCATCATTTTCACTTTTTAGAGTTCAAGAACATACCCTATATTTATCATCAACAAAAGCATTGTCTCCTCTCTGATGGCTGCCCTGACTTTTACTGAACTCCTTCTTTTATTCCAAGTTTGTTTTGCAAATGAAGAAGTTCGCTGGAGCAATACTGCCCCCATCTGCTGTGCTCTGGGTAACACACGTTTTTAACAGAGTCGTGAGTTTAAATGGTTTCTATTGACTTCAATGCAAACATTTCACAGATTAATTAACAAGCACTTGCTTTTCAGAAAGGAGGCAAAAATTCTGATAAGTATTCAGAAAGAAGTTATTAATTCTGAGTCTCTGAGCTGGCGAGTCATCAGGTTAATTCTAGAAATCAAAGAGAAAAAGTTCAGCTTCTACATTTTGTACATATGCTACTGCATTTTTAGCTGCTAAATTAAACACGACATCTTGTTCAAATAAATATTCCTCCTATTTAGCTCAGAGGAAGGAGGAAGAAAATTCATGACTTACCTCTCAAGTCTTATTTTCTGTGATTATGTGATTTATATTAAAAAAAAAAAAATGCAGCCCTCATCTGTACCAAAGAGACTTCTGAGGAGGAATAACACACCAAAACAGCTCAGAATTGGACATCTGAAGGGCAGAAGTGTAAATGATTTGTCAGAAAATCATCCATACAAGCATGCTGACAATGAGTTCAGGATGAGCTGCTTCTTTCTTGCCATGTTCTTGTTTTGCTCCAGCATAACTCTCTTGGCCTTGGAGGAGTGATTCTGTAAAGGATAAAGGGCCCACTCTTTTATTTTTTCAAGCACAAACCATATTTATTTTTATTATTAATTCCACCCTTCTAATGCAAAGAAGTGAACAAATAGCTAGGTTTTATAAAGGTATGCAGCCAGATATGTCATCAGAAACAGGATATCTGTGAAAGTGTTATGGAAAAGAGAAAAGCTATGCATGTGCATATATATATATGCATATGTGCATTTATATATATATATATATATATATATATATATATATATATATATGCATATGCATGTATATGCCAATCGGCCCTTGAGGACAACTGGCAAAAGTCTTTTTAGCAAATTCAGGAGCACAAACTTTAACAGCAGTACATCTAGGTTCTGAACCACTAACGGAGTAATTCTGACAGCAAAGAATCAAGATTACCAATGTAAATGGAACAAAATGTGTGCCAAATTGCCAAAGCCAATTTCTGGCTCCTGGATGAAATGCATGCCAACCCCTCGCTTCGCAGTTACAAATTGTTATGAAAAATACTTCAGGTTTCTATATTTCAAATGCATGACCTCAGTACCCAGTCCTTTGGTTCATAGGTTCCAAACACCATAGAAAGAGAAAGGCTGCATTTTGCACACTCTTTTACAGAGGAGGGGCCATTTATTGAAGCCTATGTGTTCACCCCTGAAGCCAAGTCCAGGGCAGAGCACTCATGTCCTTTACTGAGGTGATCCACTGGTGACTCTGTGCCTGCTCTCCCACCTGGAGCTGAAAATACCAGTCAGATATATCACATATGTCACCTTCAAGAACAGAGAACCATTTTTATCTCTGAAGAGACTGGTGCAAAAGTCAGCGGGCTTTGATTTTATTAGTGAACTGTTTCTGGCAGGAGGCTTTTGGTGCTCTGAGCCTTCCCCCGGATGGGAGGAAGGTTCGTCACCACTTCTCTCTTCAAAGCAATTCTCTGACGGAACACAGTCAAAAATCTAAGCCCTTCCTTGCCCCCTCCTCACTTGAGAGGATTTTCACCTCCGGGCTCGAGCTCGAAGCCATTAACCTACCTGCACTTCCCACAGAGGGGAGGAACCCACCGCTTGGAGTCGCTCTCGAGCGGCCATTTTGTATCTGAAGCACGAGGCGCGGGCGCCCTCCGGCGGCGCTGAGGAGAGGCGGGCGGAAGCGGGAACGAGGAGGAGGCGGGAAAAGAGATTCTCCTCACAGTGCAGGAGGGGCGTTTCTGAAGGGCAGGTAGCTGGCGCCCGGGCCGACAAAGTTAAGAAAATAAACAACAGAACACCTGGGAGGAGACACGTGGAGGGCTTAGAGAGGCTGAGGGGGATCGGGATAGCCTCGTGCAGGTGTGTGAGAGTTTTTGAACTTTGAGGGGCTGTTGCGTATGGTTGGAGGCGTTGTTTAAATAATAAGGTGGCATTTCTGGTACTTGGGATCGGGTTCTGGATAAAGGCTTTAGTTTTTGTCCATGACGTGCCTTCAAGATGTGTTGGAGGTGTTATTTTTCTTCAAGTTGCATTATGTTAAATGTGTCTGATGGTATTGCTGCTGCAGCTCTCTCTGGCCTGCTCAGTCTGCCAGAGTACCTAGGAAAATGCCAATTAGGCCAATTAAGCCCCCAAACTCTCTAAGCAATCATTTTTTTCTCCCTCACCTTCCCTTGAGGAATAAGATGTTTAAAGAAGTGTGCATCTGCAAATGTAAAAGGGTAACAGCCACCTAATTGTTGGTTAAAAACTTAACAGACAATACTACCAAGTATTTATAAAATCTGTGTTCATCCAGTCAAAACAAAGAATAAGACTTTATAAAGGAGAGGAACCAACTGCCTCAGTCTCCCTGAATTCCTTCTAATCTAAGTTTGAGGAACAAAATTCATTTTTATGGCATAAAGTTATTTCTTAATATGCCAGAAAATAATACAGTAATAAATATAAGGACAGTTCTTTTTCTTCACAGTTTGCTGTAAGAAGGAGCAAGAATATCCAGGAATTAAGATAGCATATATATATATTTTTCTTAGTAGAGAAATTCTGTATCTGGTATCTGTTATTACATGAAACATCATGTTTACTGAAAATGAATAGAATGGCCTGGGTTGAAAAGGACCACAATGATCATCTAGTTCCAACCCCCCCTGCTATGTGCAGGGTTGCCAACCACCAGACCAAGCTGCCCAGAGCCACATCCAGCCTGGCCTTGAATGCCTCAAGGGATGGGGCATCCACAAAATGGAATGAAACAGATTCCGATGTAATAAATTGCACTAATCACTGCAGTCTGTGTGCTTTGTGTCCAAAGTGGAGTAAGTTCTTCCATATGGCAATAGGGTTTCTGCACAAGTACTGGGATATAGTAAGGCCTTATGATAATGAACCTGCGGGAGCAGAATCATTCAGTACTGGAGAAGTCATGTTTGTGAAATTCAATGATTTAACTGTTCTGGTATAGGATTGTTTGTTTGTTTCCTTTAAGACGGTGGTTGGTTTTAATGTTTTTTTATACATAGTTCTGTACCTAGTATTTCAAAGCTTCTCTCAAAGAAGGATCATTAATGAGCTTCAGAGGTAATGATAAACTGAGATGAATGGGGATGATTATTTTTTTTTTTTTTCTGAAGTCTTGATTTGCTCTGATGAATCAAATGAGTGTGATCTAGTTAATTCTGTCAGTATCTGGTGACAGACGCATAGAAGAATGGTCAGGCTAAATGTGCTAGGTTCTGTATCCCAACTCCACATTTTTACACTAACTTTGCTGTTTTGATCTTTTTTTTTTTTTCACATCAATCTAGTATATTTAATTTTCTGTTATTAAATTTATATATATATTCCAAGCAGTACACTTTTTATCAAAAAAGGAAAGCAGTTGAGAAATCTCCTTGACTGTCCAACTGAAGACAACAAAGGAAACACTCTGTAAAGTCAAAGCTCTGAGAAGCAAATAGGCTGATTTGGAGACTGCTGAGAGAGCCATGTCAAATCTTAGAGCATGTCTGAAGGACAAGGAGGGAGCCCTTGAGGTTACCAGTATTTGTGCTGTGTGCAGCTGGAGTGTGAAACAGCTACAGGTGGTTGAGAAGAAAAGGATTATTCAGGTCTTCCAAAACATAAGTCAAATTGTTGGAGTGGCTCAAATGGAGAAAATACAGCTTTCCAAAGAAATCAGTGTCTGGAAACTTAAAATAGAAGAACTTAAGGTCTGTAAATGTTACTGTATTTGTCTGTCAGACTGTTAATATTTCCTTCTTTAAAATCTGCATCTTAGTGTGCTAGCAGCATCTGGTTATAAAGTAAATTTGAGAACATACCTTGAATCCCAGCAATACCAGATTAATTTGTGGCTAGAAAAGAGTAATATTGCCATATTTCCATCAAAAATGAGTATTTTGTGGGTTTAAAGCAGTTACCAAAAGGCTTGTGAAAGCTGGGCTTAGCAAGCTTCCTTCAGTGTTAGTATGGTCCACATGAGTAGCAAAATAGGAAAAGCAAAGTGTTACTAAGAAGCAGCAGGCAGCCAGCATTCAGAATTCCAAACTGATGGCACTATTTATAACTGATAATTTCTTAAACAAAAATTACTTAATGTGGTAGCCTTGGGTCAGCAGCTTCTGAACAACTCTGCTCCACGTAGGGAATTTCACACACTTCTGTGTAGCTGAATATTAGGAGTGCACATGGAGGTAGCACTACAAAAGGATGGAAATCATTTTGATGTCATACACCTGGTAAGGTTAAACATGCTTGTAAGGCCATCAGTTCAGACTCTGAAACACCCTTTTTGCCTGGATTAGCCATTTTCATATAATTGAAATAATGTAATGTGATTTTCTACTCTGTGTTTCTTTCATGCTCCAAATTGTTTTCTGACAAATAAGATTTAAGGTAATAATGATGTTTGCACATCTTTGTGGTCAATTTATATATATATTGTTTTTTATTTTTATATGAGTACATTGCAAAGCAGGAGAAAGAATTGAGAATACATCAAATGGAGGTCACACTGAGCAAGTTAGAATTGGATGAAGTTAAGCTGATAAACATGCCCTGAGAGATTCCATGCATTTTATGATATGAAACTGGAAAAAGACCAGTTAATGAATGAGCTGAAAGCCAGTTGAAGTATGCTAGCTGTCCTTGCAGGTTGTAGCTCCAGCTTGGCTCATCTCAGATAGCTGCTAAATTGAGCTAGTGTTAAAAATAAAATGCAGCTTGCTTGATGACTCCAAATATGGCTGCTGGTACAGCAGAAGATTCCCTTCCAGTATGGGATGGTCAGATTGCTTCAGGGGAGCCGTGGTTTGGTTTTCTGGCACAGAACAATGAAGACAGAATCCTTATTGCAGCCTCTCACTACCCTTGGCAACAATACTTGACTCTAGAAACCAAAGAAGCAGATTTAGTGAAACACAGGATAGGGATGTGACCAGTTTTTTCCGTGTGTTATTTACCAGTGTTAGTGGCTCCTGTTAGCCATCTGCGATCAAACTGCAGTGGAACTTGCATGATAGTGTTATAGTGTTGTTTAAAAGCTTATATCCTAACTCTGTGCACTGTTTTCACAGCTAATGTATGGGGAAGCAGATCAGGGTTCCACTGGAACCAAGCATGTGCACACACAGTTGTCCATGCTCAGCACTTTCTGGGGTCTGAGTCAGCCAGCTCTGAGTTTCTCAGGATGAGGGAAATTTTAGAGTATGATGTTACATTTGCCTTTTTTTGGTTGAGCAACGTGTTGCTGGCCATATCTGCCTCCTATATTTTGATCTGACTGGCATGTAAATCCTAGGACCCTACAGATGAACTGCTGCTCTTCCAGGAGGAAGAATAACTTCCTACTGCTCAGTGTTTTGGCACTTTAGGGTGCAAATTCTACATGTAATCTTTCTCATTGTTAACGTGTGGCAGTTAAAGCTATCTCTTGTATCTGTGCATCCACAGCACCTTAGTAAGCATACCTTTGCCTCGGGGTCAGTTGTAAATAAGCACGGGAATGGTGCCAGGTTTTATTTTAAAACTGAAGACAGAAATCTGCTAGAGAGTTAAAAGCAATCTGACAAAGACTTTTATTTTGGCTTAGAGCTAACTTTCCTATTGAGTGCCCAACAAAAATTAGTTACTAAATCTTCCCATGCCTTTTCGGAGTACGCTATTTAAAGAAGGAAGAGTAACTATTGTAACTATTTAACATTAACTATGTAACTATTTAGAAGACAGGTTAACATTGTTACCGACCATCCATTTTACAGCCTTCAGCGTAGTTCAGTTCAGTTTCGCCTCATTAGCGCAGTTGAATTGTCAAATCCCAAAGATATTCAATAGGTCTAGAGCTGTCCCTGACAGGATTAGCTCCCTTCTGTGGTGTTACGGTGTGCATATTATGGCCAGTGGGATCACATAACCAGTTGGTTGCCGCTTTAATCTTATCATGAGAGGCGTTTAGATATCTTGCATTTCAGTATTTCCACACTGCTAATAATATACAAATAATGGATCTGTATATACACATTGTTGTTTCTATTAAAAAGAAAACACTGTTGTATACACTTCAGTCACTAACAGGCTTATGTCTGAACACATAAGAAGTACTCGGAAGTGTTATGAGAATTGAGTGCTGCATCTTGTGAGGACTACAAGAGAGGGGTTGTTGCAGAGGGCTTACTGTCTGGCACCTGCTTTTTTTTGTTTGATACGATTAACATTCTTCCATAAGAGCTGCAGGGCGCAGGATGCTCGGCAGCTTCTGCCTCAGGCAAACGGCAGCACATAGAGCCTCTTCCCTGCCTGTACTCCGCTGCCCTGCCACCTTCCCAGAACTTGGCCAGCTGTACTCCTCACGTGAGCACCTGACTCACGGTGTGAATGGGATGTTCCAAAGATTAACAATGGCATGACATTTCTGAATGGGAAAGTGCCTGGTGGCAGTGTCCAAGAGCAGTGTGTTAGCACTGAAGATTGAGTCATGTTCTGTCACTTATACATTGCGGGCTCTCAGGTCTTTTTCTTTGTTAGTTACATTTATAAAAGAGAAAAAAAAAACGTAGATTGTAATAGCAATTTATTATTTCTATTACCAATAACATTATAAACTAAAACAATTGAAGGGACTGATTTGTAAGCACTTTATTTTTTACTTTTTTCTTTTATTGCTTTTCTTGTTGTCAGTCGCTTGTGCTTGGCGGTGTTTTCACTACTTATAGTTCCCAATAAATCTGCAATCTTATCTGCAAGGTACGCAGATAATTTTTGGTTTTTTTTCTGATACATCCTTCCTAATGTGATACAAACATTTGTATCAAAAGTTAAAAGACAATTAATTCTGTGAAATTCCTTCAACATCAGGTGCT